TGCCCTGGGATGGGGCAACCCCGGGTGGACGGACAGACTGGGAAGGAGAGGTTGGAAAGCAGAGCCAGGAAAGGGCCCTGGGGGTGCTGGTGGGTGGCCAGTTGGCCCTGAGTCAGCAGTGCCCTGGCAGCCAGGAGGGCTAAGCCTGTCCTGGGGGCATCAGGCCCAGCATGGCTGACCGGGCCAGGGAGGGGATTGTCCCGCTCTGCTCTGCCCTGGGACAGCCTCACCTGCACCATTGGGGCAGTTTGGGGGGACACAATGGAAGGGAGAGATTGAGTCATTAGAGAGTGTCCAAAGGAGGGCAACCAAGATGGGGAAGGGCCTTGGGGGGAAGTCGTGTGAGGACACTGAGGGCACTTGGTGTGTTCAGCTGGAGAAGAGGAGACTGAGGGGAAACCTCAGTGCAGGTCCAACTTCCTGGGGAGGGGCAGAGGAGGGGCAGGGACTGAGCTCTGCTCTGTGGGGACCAGGGACAGGACTGAGGGAATGGCCTGGAGCTGTGTCAGGGGAGGTTTAGGTTGGATCTTAGAAAGAGGTTGTTCCCCCAGAGGGTGGTTGGGCATTGAACAGGTTCCCCAGGGCAGTTGTCACACCACCAAAGCTGACAGAGCTCAGGGAGCATTTGGACAATGCTCTCAGGCACAAGGTGTGACTCTTGGGGATGGTCTTGAGCAGGGCTAAGGGTTGGACTTGGTGATCCTCATGGGTTCCTTCCAACTCAGCATATTCTGTGATTCTTTGTAACACCCCACCTTTGCCTGCTTTGCTGCTTCTGTTAACCACAAGTTCCTGCCTTTATTGTCTCTTTTCTTGGCTGGTTTCTTTGCTTGGCAGGTTGGTTACACAGAAATTTTCTATGGCACATTCTGCTGCAACCATTATTAGATCTGTTATGTCTCCAAACCCAGTGTCAGCCCTATGGAGCCAAAGGAACCCTGGGACACTGTGGAACCTCATGGAATCAAGGGGCAATTGTGACACTGTGGAACCTCATGGAATCAAGGGGATATTGTGACACTGTGGGATCTCATGGAATCAAGGGGCAATTGTGACACTGTGGAGCCTCATGGAACCAAAGGAACCCTCAGACACTTCGGAACCTCATGGAACCAAGGGAATATTGTGACATTGAGAAGCCTCATGGAATCAAAAGAACCCTGGGACAGTCATGGAAAGTCATGGAACCAAGGGGCCATTGTGACATGTGGAACCTCATGGAATAAAAGGGCCATTTTACCACTGCAAAACCTCATGGAATCAAGGGGCCGTGAAGGAATCACAGAATCAACTAGGCTGGAAAAGACCTCTGAGATCATCGAGTCCAACCTATGACCCAACACCACCGTGTCACCCAGACCATGGCTCTAAGTGCCACATCCAGTCTTTCCTTAAACACCTCAAGGAATGGTGATTCCATCACCTCTCTGGGTAGCCCATTCCAATGCCCAATCACCCATTCTTCTGAATGTCCAACCTAAACCTCCCCTGGTGCAGCTTAAGACTGTGTCCTTGTCCTAGTTAGAACACCTGGGACCGATTCATCACTGGATGGGTGTAGCCCAAAACTGTGTATTCTATAGCCCTCCATGCCATTTCCCAGAAACTGTTGTCAGTAGAGGCCTGCGAGATGGCCCCCCCCCATGCTCCTGTCCTCATGCCCTTTTGTGGAAGTCACTGACTGAGCACCCTCACGGCCTTTTATGGAATTCCCCACTCTGAGGGAAGGACTGAACATCCTCTTATGGAATTCCCCGCTTTGAGGGAGGGACTAATCATTCCCGCCTGAGCTGGAGAATATATAAACCTGGAGTTTCTAAACCTTTCCACCACTCGTGGGATCCAGAGGACTGCAGCTTGCCACTCTCAGCCGGACTGAGACCACCACTCTCAACTGAACTGCAATCACCACTTTGGCCGGACTGCAGCAGCTCTCCCACCAGCAGGTTTTTCCCCTCTCCCTTTGCTTTGGACTCAGGGGGGGCCCAGGGAGCACCGCTTTGTTTGTGCCCCAGGGTGCTGGGTTGTACATTTGGGCTTTGTGGGTTAGAGTGCTGGGTTGTACATTTGGGCTTTGTGGGTTAGAGTGCTGGGTTGTACATTTGAGTTTTGTGGGTTAGGGCCGATTGCTTGTCCATGTGGTCGTACTTATTGTATTATTTTATTAAATTGTTATTCTGATTTGTAATCTCTCTTTTGAGTTGGGTTGGTTTCCCCTGCTGGTTAACTTTTAAACCAGCACAGTCCTCTTGTCTGGGAGAAGAGACTGACCCCCATCTCGCTCCAACCTCCTGTCAGGGAGTTGTAGAGAGTGAGGAGGTCTCCCCTGAGTATCCTTCTCTCCAGGCTCAACAAACCCAGCTCCCTCAGCCTCTCCTCACAGCACTTGTGCTCCAGTCCCTTCACCAGCCTCATTGCCCTTCTCTGGACCTGCTCCAACACCTCGGCATCCTTCCTAAACTGTGGGGCCCAGAGCTGGACACAGCACTCCAGGGGTGGCCTCTCCAGTGTCAAGTACAGGGGGAGAATCACTTCCCTGCTCCTGCTGCCACACTGTTCCTGAGCCAGGCCAGGATCCGTTTGCCTTCTTGGCCACCTGGGCACACTCTGGCTCATGTTCAGCCTCTGTCAGTGAGTACCTCCAGGTCCCTTTCTGCCTGGCTGCTCTCCAGCCACTGTCCTCAGCCTGTGGTGTTGCAGGGGGTTGTTGTGGCCAAAGTGCAGGACCCGGCACTTGGCCTGGTTGAACCTCATCCCGTTGGACTTGGCTCATCTCTCCAGCCTGTCCAGGTGCCTCTGCAGAGCCCTTCTGCCTTCCAGCAGATCAACACTCTCCCCCCACTTGGTGTCATCTGCACATTTGCTGATGGTGGACTTGATCCCTTCATCCAGATCATCAGTAAAGATGTTAAACAGGACTGGGCCCAGCACTGATCCCTGGGGACAGCACCAGTGACTGGATCCCAACTGGATGCAGCCCCATCCCCACCACTCCCTGGGCCCTTAACCCAGCACAAAGTGCCCCTGTCCAAGCCTTGGGCTGCAACTTTTCCAGGAGTGTGCTGTGGGAGACGGTGTCAAAGGCTTTGCTGAAGTCTGGGTGGACACATCCACAGCCTTCCCCTCATCCACCAGGCAGGTGACCTGGTCATAAAAGGAGATCAGGTTGGTCAGGCAGGACCTACCCCTCCTAGATTTGTGCTGGCTGGGTCTGACCCCTTGTCCATTCTGTAGGTGCTGTGGGATTGCACTCAGGATGATCTGTTCCAGAACCTTGCCGGGTACCCAGGTCAGGCTGACAGGCCTGGAGTTCTCTGGATCCTCCTTCTGGCCCTTCTTAAGGATGGGGGTCACACTGGCCAACTTCCAATCATCTGGGACCTCCCCAGTGAGCCAGGGCTGTTGGGAAATGATGGAGAGAGGCTTGGCGAGCTCTTCCACCAGCTCCCTCATCACCCCAGGGTGGATCCCCTCTGGTCCCATAGACTTGTGAGGATCCAAGTGGCTCAGCAGGTCACCAGCTGTTCCCTCCTGGATTACAGGGGGGCTATTCAGCCTCTTGTCCCTGTCTGCCAGCTCCAGAGGCCACTTGTCCTGAGGACAACCTGCCTTATTGTTGAAAACTGAGCCCAAGAAGGTGTTAAGTACCTCAGCCTTTTCCTCATCTTTGGTAATTATGTTCCCCCAAACCCCGTGTCCAACAAAGAATGGAGGTTTTCTTTGTCCCTCCTTTTGCTATTGATGTATTTATAAAAACACTTATTATCCTTTACAGAAGTGGCCAGGGAGTTCAAACTGTGCTTTTGCCTTTCTAATTTCTTTTCTGCAGTTCGTTTTGTTGTTCTTGTGAGTGAACAGAGGGGTTTGATTTTTCTCTTCTCTCGGGTGGGTTATGCTTTACAGTCTTCACCTGCCTTTGAAGAGGTTTTCAGAGTTGTTTTCTGGCTCCTTTTGGTGTGTTCCACAGCATGATTTTCCCAGCCCCTGTGCCTTGCATGGTTTACCATGTCATGCAAGAGTTCTGCCCACATAGAGACCAGTCTCCTCAGGGCCTGTGGATCTCGTAAAGTTTCATTATGCATTACATCTCTTTTGATTTCATTTCGTCACCCCACTAAATACATTTGCCTTGCATATTTTCCCACTCCTACCAGTTATCCACTGGCCAATGATCATCAGTGTTAATGTGTGACTGTGCCTCCATAAATATTCTGTTAAGCCTTTCGTCTGTTTCTCAAAATCATTTACCATCCTGCTGACTACACCAAATTGTTGTGGGTGGGAGTGGAAGGCTTTGAGACAAAAGTTTATTAGAGAAGTTCCTGCTGTTGAGTCCTGAGGTGCAGAAAGGACTCCCTGGCTTTCTAAACTCCCGCTCAGAGAGGAGCCTGGGGTCAGCTGGATCCAATCTCAGCCTCTGATTACATTAACAAAGCAATTCTAGTAAAGCAACTGCATCAAATTGTATCAAAGCTGGCAAAAAGAAACAAACATTAGTGGAGACTGATATAACTCCGCGCAACTCAACCCCTCAGTAACCATGAAGAAGCCTCCCTGCTCCGCAGACAAGCTCTACACACTCCAAGAAAGTCTGGAAGAATCTGCCACATGAAAGTTGGACTGGGCTTTTATAGTAGTAGAGAGTTTGACTGCCAGCCCCATTTCTGCAGGCCAGCCAGCAGCTTATCAGTCAAATGCTGCTTCCAAAAGCAGGGGGTGTGTTTGCAGTTGTGAACCAGGCTGGTTTTAGCACAACCCAACACTAAAAGCAGCCCCCTGGCACCAGTGGGAGCTCAAGCACAGCCAACTTGGGTTGTCTGGGTTCTCTGACTGGATTTTAGGCTTTATCTGGGCAGAGTGTCCTGCCAGACCCCCCAACCTCCGTGTCCCCCCCATTCTCCACTCCAGGCGCTTCCCGCTCGTGGCTCTGTCGGAGCCCGTGTCACGACACGCGGAGCCACCGCAAAAGGTTCTTTTCCTGAGGGATCCCTTGCAGGGGATGAAAGAGAAACACCCCTGGAGAACCAGAGTGACAACAGGAACAGCTCTTATTTTTGGCACCTCTGGAACCGTAACCATGGATTGCTCAGGCGGTGGTGATTCCTGCCGGGACAAGAGTGGGGAACAGAGTCACCATCCCACAGGATGGATCCAGCTGCAGAGCCCATGGAGAAGAGGAACTGCACCAGAATCCTACCCCATCCTGCTCCACCCATCCCATCTGACTCCACTCCATCCATCCCACCCCAATCCTGCTCTGAAATCCCACCCCAATCCCACTCCATCCATCCCAGCTGATCCTGCTTCAGAATTCAGCCCTGATCCTACCCCAGAATTCCACCTGATCCCACTCTGGAATCCTGCCCTGATCTGGAATCCTGTCCCAATCCTGCTCCATCTATCCTGCCCCAATTTCCCTCTGGAATACCACATGGATCCTGCTCCATACCTGTGAGGGAGCAGTCAGTTCCCACGTCTGTTCCTGTGGAAAGAGAAGATTGATGAGATTCTGGCCTGGATCACACACCTGGACCCATTCCAGGATCCATCACGGGATCCACATGGAGAGGTTCTGGATATGCTGCTGGTACTCACCACTGGCCACAACGTATCTCTTCCTCTCCCTCTTCCCTATGGAAATAAAGTGGGATCAGCACCTGTGGCACAGGATCCCCAGAATGCCACTGGATGGATCTGTGCCCCTTCCCAAACCCCATCCCATGAGTTACCGGATCGGAGCTTCCAGATGCCAAATCTCATGAGGATGAGGCTGATGATGATGATGGCAGTGATGACGGACACCATGACCACCAATGGGATGAGATTCCAGCCGGATTCCGGCTCTGGAAAGCGTGGGATGGTGAGAAGGGGGAGGGGAACCCCCATCCCACTGCTCCACATTCCCAAACTCCTCGTTCCCAAATTCCCAATTCCCAGATTCCCCATTCCCAGCCTCACCCCAGGCAAAGATCCCAGGCTCCGGCATTCCGGCGTGCTCAACCCGGCACCGGTACTGCTCCCGCTCCCCCGGCAGCGCCTCGATCCTGGCCCAGCTGTGGAAGGTGCCGTCGATGTTGGGAACGATCCCGCCCCGCCACGTCTCTTGATCCCAGATTTCATCCCCCTTCAGCCAGTTGATCTCGATGACCCCAGGGTAGAATCCGTATGCGCGGCAGGACAACGTCAGGATTCCGTGTTCCTCTTTCCCAGACACATGGACGTCAGGAGGCTCTGCAATAGGATAATGGTGAGATCTATCCATGGAATTCCCAAGGAAATGGGACAGCAGTAAGATCCATCCACAGAATTCCCATGGGAACAGGATGAGGGCGAGATGTGTAAACAGAATTCCATGGGAATTCCTGTGTTCTCAAATCCACCTTCCCAAATCCCATATTCCCCAGTTCCCCATTCCCACGAGAATTCTGCCCTCACCTTTTTTCTCCAGCATCTCCTGCCCATACTGGACATGTTTCTGGAGCACTTCCAGGCAGGTGTGCTCCAGGAAATTTGTCAACCTCTCCACTGTGATCCCATCAGAGTCCCAGTGCCTCTTGATGATCTGGGCAGTGCCGTCGGCCGCCATGAAGCTCCCGGATCCCAACTCGAAGGAGAGGAAATCCCGCCCGTCGTAGCCTTCCCGATAGGATCCACGGACGCTCCCGTCGGACAGGAGCTCACAGCCGCAATCCCGCTGCAGCGTGTGGAGACCTGGAGGGGGAGGAATCGGATCCACAGAGACCCATGGAAGCGTGTCCCAGCCCCACAGGGCCCCATTCCAGCCCTATGGACTCCCATAGTCTGATGGAAGATCCACACATCCCATCCCAGTCCCTTGGAGTCCCACAGATCCCCCCCAGCCCCACAGATCCACATCCCAGCTCCACAGATCCCCCCTTCCCCGGCTCCCCCCACTCACCCCCGCTCTGGTTGTGCCGGAGCTGCAGCATGTCCAGGTGGGCGGGGTCCTTTTGCCGGTACCTCCCGTTGATCCGGGACTCGGTGTCCCAATATCCCGGTTTGGCTCCGGCCGCCATCCACACAGTCTGCGGCTCCAGCCGGCCCCGCTCGCTGTCGTAGCGCACAAAGGGGGTCCCGTCCACGGACGCCACGGCCACGTACCGGGGCAGCCCTGGGCCTGGCTCCGACACCGCCACGCGCAGGTAACGCAGGGAGTGCACAACTGGGGGGACACGGAGAGCTGAGGGGGCTGGGGGGGATCATGGGTAAAGGAAATGAGGAACTGGGAAAGCTGGGAGAGCCAGAAAGGGGGCTTGGGGGTCC